GAATGGAAGCCGGCCCTCGTCCTTCCAACCGACTTCAATAAACTTCTGCACAGCGGCATCAGCGGCTTTCTCCTCGGCAGCGACGAGAGCCAACTCTGCACTAGCCTTGCCCTTCTCGGCCTCCTCGGCGCGCTGAAGGGCCTCATCGCGGGCACGCTCCACGTCGGCCAAGCGCTGGAGAGCCCCCTCCTTCTCAGCGGCCAACTGGTCGGCCTCGTCGGCCCTCTTCTTAAGGCCCTCAACCTCAAGACGCAGCCTCTCTAAGCTGCCTAGCGCCTCATCGGCTGAGGCAACCTTCTGCTCAAATTGCCTCAGACGGGCAATCTCTTTTTGTTGCCTCCTGTTGTTCTCCATCAACATGAAGGCACCCTGCAAAAAAAAAAGTTAGACAACTTTGCAACAAAAAATGGCGAAGAAAGTAAGACGAAGCGTGCACGGTTACTTACTTGGACGACGTGGTCCATCCCACCATCGTACATCTTCACGTGGCCGAGCTTCTTCAGATAAGCCCGATCTTCATCAGGGATGGCCTGAGAAATCACCTCGTGGCCGTCAACGATTTCATTGAACAGCCCCCCTTTGACGGGGTACTCTACCTCGAGCTTATAGGTCCCTCTGACCAGCTCTCGGCCGGACCCTTTCTTCCGGGCGGCCGTTGAGGGAGCAGGAATAGTGGAAAGAGTGGTGGACGACGGGCCTGAAGGGTGGTCCACCATAGCATCAGGATTTGAACCCTCTCCATCCCCAGAAGGAACAGCCGACGTCCCAGCATCGCCGGCAGAAAAAGCCCTCTTTGACTTCTTGGGAGGCTTCATTCCCACCTCCGTCAACTTCTTCTGGCCCTCTTCGGCCTGCCTCTTCTTCTTCGGCTGCACCGGCGGCTTGGCCGCAGCAGTAGCCCCAGGTTGTTGGGCCTTCAGCTCCTCGGCCGCTTTGAGTTGGGCCCTCTTCATGAACGACATGCGGTCCATCACAAAACCTGCATAAAAAAACACACTAAGGGTTAGAAAGCAAAATACGAAAGTACGACAAGGAAGCACGTCAGAAGGGACTTACCATCGGCCTCAGCTGGCACCCCCAGATCGGGACCATCAACCTCCTCATAGGACGTGGTCATCTTCGGCCACAACTCCACATCATCGTCGAGATCACCATACACAAAATACCGTACAAAGCCGAGGGCGGCCATCTTGTACTCGGTAATATATGTCTTCACACTCCTCGGCCCCCCCTCCAGGAAGGCCTCAACTTGAGCGTCCAGGATGGAGCTCCTCGGCGCATCATGAAGATTAAAACGGCCTGTGTGGCCGACGGAAGGAAACTCTGTGCCCCCTCGCCCAGAGACACGAACACAAACATCCCTTTCCACCCATGGATGGACGTCGGCAGGTCTGTGAAACTCCTCTTCTTGGGAAGTTGTTGAAGGGTGGCATACGACGCACAGTTCTGATGACTCCCACGGCCTATCTGATATAAGTTCATAAATAGCGCCGTCGTCGGCCTGAAGTCCAATTCAGCACACCGCATGATGAAGCCGACGATGAGGGAGTAGCTATTCGGCGTCAACAAGACCGGAGGGAGCCCCACCATATCCAGGTACTCAGTGATAAAAGGATGAAGCGGAAACCTAAGCCCTTTAGCAAAGCTCATCGGGTACACTCCGAAGTAGCCCGGGGGGGATTGAGGACATGGTCCGTCGGCCTGGGGGCCCTAACCCTACCGTACGGCCCCACATACATTTGGGCGACCAAGTATTCCCCCGCATTACTCTGCGGCCTGATGACATAGATGTTCGTCAAATTAAGGTGAGAAAAGGCTGGCCCTCTCTTCGGCCTCCTAACCCTCCTCGGCGGTGCAACGCCCTTCACAGCAAACACAGGTTTAGGGCAGGGGATGGCAGCCGACGTGGATGCCCCATCAGCAGTTCGAGAGACCCCCGCGTGCTCACCCCCAGACGATGACGCAGACCCCTCGTCCGCATGGTACGGAACGAGCTCAGATTCTCAATCTCCTCACAGAACTCCTCGAGAAGGTCATAATCAAGGGACTGGGTAGAGGGCTCGTCGTCATAAGGATAGTACTCTTCGTTGAGGTTTTTCATCTTAAACAATATCTCGAATATACTGCAGCCTACTTCAAGATCTAAGGATACTCAAGGGCCTAACACTAGATCACTAGCCTAGGAAGCAAAACATGCAAAGTACAGAGAGAATTTCGATGAACACTAACCTTGAACAAACGAAGAACACGAAGAACAAGCTTCAGAGTTTATCTCTCTAGAAATCCGGGCAGCACTTCGACAAAACTCAGAAAGCAAATGAGTTTTCTCGTCGGAGGGGGAGGGGTATTTATAGAACCCCCCACCCAACGGTCACTACACGTGGCACCCTCCCAATGGCCACGTCAACGGCCACCAATGGGAGGCCGCCACGTCAACAACGGGCCAAGCAAAACATCAAGAGCCCACCAGCAAAACAGACTCTACGGCCTCTACGCTTGCCGGCTTCACAAGCGCCAGCCAGCGCCCACAACGACCTATTCACATACCAAATTCACAAGTGCCAACGATAGGGAGATGACAACGGCCAGGAACGTAATGAACGGCCACATGACCAAAGGAACAAAAACCCACAGCCGTCGGCTCCTCGTAATAACCCTTGATGATAACTCTCTACAAGCGATCTGCGCACAAGGGTTCTCCCACAGGGTTACCTTGGCCAGAAAATCGCCATGAGGGTTGGATTCAGGGGGACTACGGCGAGACCGCTTCGGCCAGGGACTCAAGCAACTCCTTCACCCCTCACACTCTTCGGCCTGAAGCAGTGGGGGACTGGGGGACTACACCGGCCTCAACAAAACAAAAGAGAATGCAAACAAGGTAACCACAGAGCATGACCACATCGGCCACGCATCACACTGCACCTCGTTGACCGAAGGTACACAACGTCATCTGCAACGGCCAACGGGCCACCAAAGGCAAGGACGCTCATCGTCCTTCGCCATCACTTAATCACGAGGGGCTCTTCGGCCAGAAACATGAAAGCTAATCAACGACGGCCAAAAGGAGTGCGCAAACACCCTCATCGGCCATCTAAAGGGAAAGACGCCATCGTCCTCGAAGCAAGGACCAACTGCAGTGGCCTCATCGGCCCAAACCCAAACTTCAACCATCAACGCCCATGAAAAGGAAAGCGTGCCTTCAACGGCCACCATCGAAGCGGGAGACTCATCGTCCTCGAATGAACACATTAAGGAGACAACGGCCTCCCCGCCCACAGCGAGGAACAGGTAACGGCCAAAGCACAAAACAGGACCACCAAAGAGGAAACAACGCCAACGCCGCAACGGCTAATGACCCGGGGATGCCCGCATCGGCCAAAAGCGCTAAAACACGGGAATCTACTCTCCTTCACTTCGTCTACGTCTCAGCTTAGAGAGTGGGGGACTCCTGATGGAGTATATGGGTCTGAGCCCCTGGACCCACATACTCGGAAGATCAGAAAGCACAAAACACAGAGTGGTGCCCTCGTCGGCCAAGACGCCCCCGTCGGCCGAAAAGGGGCCAACTCAGATTATGGTCTTGAGCCCAAGGAACTCGGGTGCCCTCGTCGGCCGTGCCCTCGTCGGCCGTGCCCTCGTCGGCCACGCCCTCGTCGGCCACGAGGACCTCCCAGAACCGGATTTTATACTTATTCATTTGTACATCCCATTAGTGGCTTTGTATTCGGTCCAGTAGCGGTCCAGTTGTAAATGGGCCTCCCAAGCGCAATGCTTGGGAGCCCAGCCCGTATTTTCTATATAAATACTCCCCTTGGGAGTAGTTGTAGGGGTTCAGAATTCATTAATATCAAGCAAATATACTACTTCTCTCTCTAGCTCTCACTTCTCTCTAGAGATATACTCTATCACTCACACTTCCCACAACTTCTTGCTAATTCTATTAACTTTAGTGCAGTCTGATCATCAATCAGCTCATGTAAGGAGTTCATATTGTCACTTGGTGTTTTGAAGTATACAACTCTAATGGAGCCATTGCTTTGACCTTCTAAGAACTTCTTCAAGTGGGGATAGCTTATGACATCAGGATCTGCAGGTACACAATCAACTACCCCTCCAACATACCTCTTTTGTGCATCACAGCTGAATTCCCCCATGGTGTACTAGTAGTTTGACTCTCTCAAACATTCTACAAATATAACAACAAAAAAGCATCATTTAACTTCAGCCTAATGTACATAAATTGAGCAACACAAATTCAGCCTAATGTAATCCAAAAGGGCAGCTTTAGGGTACTATCATCATAAGATGGGTCAGCATTACAAGCAAAACACATAATAAGTCATTTGTTTAAAACGGTCAAATGTATAAAACATGAAAATGTGTATACAAAATTTAAGTGCAAAAGTAATCTTAAAGCAACATTAAACCAAAAAGAACAATATAAACTGTAAACACTACAAAAGGGCAATGCATCAAGAACGACCAAACCACAACTCTTCTGCCCTACAACAACGTACCTTTCAGAGCTTCCTTCCTCTTTGACTGAAGTCTCGCGTTACAGGGTTATAGGGCTTCACACCTTTTCGATTCAACTCCAGCGTCCCAACAACGAAGCTAACACCAAGTCCTTCGCTGTACTTTTGTTGAACTCCCGCTTCTAACAAACTCCTCTTAGCATTCTTATTTCGTTAAGGCTAGGTCTGAGAACGGAATCTATTTGTTCAAAAGGGGTTAGTTGTCTACGAAGGAGAAGGTTTAAAAGGGGGTTAGCCACGTCAACTTAAGTGCCCGGTGAGGGAGGGCCAAGTGGGATTCCAGCTCAACATGTAACGGGCTAATCGGCACTTCACCGGCTAAAAAGCCTGATTGAGTCGTTTTGTTTAGTTGAGGGACTTGATTGGGTGATTAACAAGTGACAGAGCTTAATTGAGAAATTGTTGAAGGTCTATTTGGGAGTTTTCTTTTTAAATAACATTCTTCCCGGAGAAAATAACGGAAGGTGTTACTCCGATCAAATGCTCATTGGGATCATACTGTCTTATTCTTCCTGTTTCCTTCTTTGTTGAATTCTGGAAAGTCCGTTATTTCGAGGAAGGAACAAAACTTCAGAAGATCAAAGCTGATGATCCGTTCATTCCAACAATTTTTTCCTCTAGTGATGATCTAAGCTTGTTCTATTCATCAATATATAATTAATATAAACCCCAAATTTTCAGTGTGTACCAAAAGAATTGAAAATCAATCGAGGTAAAATTGTTTGATATGTTTGCTTGCTGTTGTGAGAGGAAATTTGAGTGGAGAAATCGAGTTAAGTTTGATTTATGAGCTTATTCGATCTTAATTTATATTTATTTTGCAGCTGAACTCATAAGGATGTAAGGGCATCATTTTATCATCACAATTATTGTGTTTGCACAAATTAGGTCAGGTGGAATAAACAACCATTTTTGTTCTGATGGAAAATGGGAATAATTTGTCTTCTCCATTGCGCTTTGCCTCATCATCTTCCTTGTCAGACGGGAGCAGCAGTGATGGCCCACATGAGGCAACCAGTAACCCTGATCTGTCGAATTTGAGCACTGGACTGGAGAAGCTGTTGATAAACACTGAGTTTGAGTACTACACTGATGCGGAGATAATTGTGGAAGGAGTTTCTGTTGGCGTGAACAGGTGCATATTGGCGGCAAGGAGTCATGTTTTTCATGAAATTTTCAAAACCGCAAAGGCCAAAGGGAAGGCTGCTAAGTTTGTACTAACTGAATTGTTGCCCCGTCCGGGTTGGGTTGGTTATGAAGCTTTTAAGGTTTTCTTGAGCTATTTGTATACGGGGAAGCTAAAGCCGTCCCCTCCGGAGGTTTCACAATGTGTGGATGACTCTTGTGCTCATTTTGCCTGCCGTCCCGCCATCATTTATGCTGTTGAGCTCATGTATGCTTCTGTTACTTTCCAAATGAAAGACCTTGTCATGGTTCTGCAGGTCAGCTTCTCTATCTCAGGACCGTTTAAACTATACTTATTTGAGCCCTAGACTAATTGGACCAAATTAACAAACCGGACTTGTTGATTAGACTAATTCAAACTTGACCTAACAAGTTCTATCTGGATAGTAAATTTCGGTCCAAAATAAAAGATTCTTAGTACAAGTTTTCTTGGATTCTAGATTGATTGAAAGTATAGTAGTCGTAGGGGTTTGTATATGTATGATATGAATCCCTACAATAAAGAAGGAAATTACAATGCAACTAGAAAGAGATAACAAATACAGAGTATAATTAAGAAAGAATAGTATTAGGATCTAAGCTCAAGGCTACCTACCGTCTAAAGGCCACGGTAAAGCCCAATTAGGCGCTAGGCTCTAATCTAATGTCTGGGGGCAGAGACCACTAATATGAACACTATCCTAAACTGTGATCATTTGGTATAACAACCACAAATGGTGGATTGAAATCCATCGCAGTTGACCTAGAAGAAGTATTTTCTACCTCTGTCCGGGAAAAATATCTACCATTTGTGAGTACTTGTATATTTTAATTTATATGCAATTTTATTTTCAACTCTTTTTTGGACATTTACAAAAAAAATAGCTTTACAACAACAACATTACCCCAGTGTCGCAAAGGCTCCCACCAACGGTGGGAGAAGGGAGGTCGGATGTACGGAGCCTTACCCTTGTGCTTTAAGCACAGAGAGACTGTTTCCGGACGACCCACGATGAAATCGCGTCGAAAATTGCATAGACTATCTGATGCTTCATAACAAGGAAGCACAAACAGTTCAGGGGTGAGTCATTTGGCTTTATTCCATCATATTCCCAATTCAAAAAGTAGTGAGACTTTGGCTCCATCGGAAATGATGGAAACCCATAAAAAATAGCTCTGTTTGATGAAATTGCACTCTTTTAGAATAAAAACTGTTGAACACAAAACCATGTCTGGGCCTCACATTTTCATTGATAACATAAAAGGCTAAGCTAGAATAACGCAAAACCTTAAATGTTGGTTATTATTCATATTTTGCTGATGTAGGATAAAATTTGCAATACATTATCACATCTTTTCGATTCAGTATTTTTCTTCACAATTAACAAGGAAACTTTACATATATTTCCTAGATTCAATGTTTTAACAGACAAATACACTGATGTTGCATTATCTGTCAATATTTATTAAATAGATTACAACAATGACAACATAGATGATTATGCAGCGTGGTCTTATCAACTTTATTGATAAGGCGCAAGCTGAAGACTTGATTCCAATCCTTATGGTGGCCTATCACTGCTCACTGAGCCAACTTCTTGAGCACTCCATCCAGAGGGTGACTCTTTCTGATCTGGACAATTTCTCTCTCGAGAAAGAACTTCCAGTTGAAATCTTCAACATTGTCAAAGTCCACAGACTCAAGTCTGAACAACACACTACACAAGTGGAATCTCTCAAGGTCAAGGGAATCAGAAGAATCTTAAAGGCTCTAGATTCCGATGATATTGAATTGGTCAAACTCCTCTTAGCAGAATCCTCCACGGTCACGCTTGACGATGCATACGCTCTTCACTACGTGGTCGCGTACTGTAATTCCAAGGTTGTGATTGAGATACTTGGGCTCCGTTTGGCTAATCTCAATCTTTTTAATGCACGTGGGTACACCGCCCTTCATGTGGCCGCTAGGCGTAAGGATCCATCAATCATAGTTGGGTTATTGAAGAATGGAGCATCTGTGTGGGGTGCTTCACAGAAAGGGCAGGATGTTGTTGCGATATGTCGAAGGGTGACCCGTGCTAAGGATTATTACGAGCTTGTGAAACAAGGGCAAGAAACAAATAAAGACCGGTTATGCATTGACGTGTTGGAGAGAGAGATGAGGCAGAATCCGATGGCTGGGACTATGTCTATGTCGTTGTCTACCATGGCTGATGAATTGCTTATGGGGCTTTGCTTACTTGAAAATAGAGGTACACTGTTCTAGTGTTCTATCTATTCTTGTTTTTTACAAACTAGTAGGAGTGTTACAAGTTACCACTGGAGGGCCATGCTTTGTATATAAAGTGTGACGTATCTGCCAAGAGATAAAATTGGGATGGATAAAAAAAATTATATTATTTTTTAGTTATTAGACAAAAGTTACGCTACACAGACAAAGTTTTTACTGAAATTAGGGTGGGACTAAGCCCCCCCACCCGCCTATGCTCATGTAACTAACTCCACCAAAATTATAAGTAGTAGTTTTTTTTATTATTTCCTTTTATTAACTCCACCCGACTATTCCCGTTTTTATTAACTCCAGTAATATATCTATGAATGCTTTTTTTGTCTACTCGCTACACCACTAGTCCCATAACAACCTTGACACCTCAGTCTGAATAGTTCAAATATTTTTAGGATGTATGTTAATAAGAAGAAAGCTGAATTGCCAAAAAAAAATCTCAAGAATCAATAATTGTCCAAAAATTTCATTAGTTCATATATAGCTTTCATCGTAAAGCAAGTTCATTTAGTTTTCAAAACTATGCCCATATTCGGGATTTATGTGGCAGTGGCCTTGGCAAGACAATTGTTCCCACGAGAGGCCAGACTAGCTATGGAACAAGCCCATGTGGATTCAACCTTTGAATTTGCTGGCCTTTCATCAACAGATGGGTCATTTGGAAATCTGAGAGGTGTAGATTTGAATGAATTACCATCTGACCAAGTCAGGAGACTCGAGGAGCGTCATGAAGCTCTCCAAAGGACTGGTAAGTGGTAACGGCTAGAGCTTTCTAAATTCTAATCTCCCACCTGTCATACTTTTTATTATTACTCCGTATTTTTTAATAATAAGACTAGACAGTTGTTTTATCAAAGTAGGCAATAATGTTGGAAAGACAAAATTTATACTCCTTCGGTCCCAGTTTTTGTTGCTATTTTACTTCATTTTATTAAAACAATCTTTTTTGGAATTTTATCAATTCATGACCCGAGAGATAGATGAATTATCAATCCGGGACTTGAAAGATGAAATGTATCGATATATGACCCGAATGATGGAAAACTATCAATTTAGGACTTGAATGATTGGAAATTATCAATTTATGACCTAAGTTGTCCGAAATTTTATTAATTTTTTTATCTTAAAATTTTTAAATATTATTATTTAATTTATAATACTAATAAGCTTTTGTGAAGAAAGGTTTATCAAAAATTAGCAATGGAATTAATAAAAAATTAAATAAATCAAAACCTATGAAATTTTAGGTCCTAAATTGATAGTTTTTCATCATTCGAGTCCTATACCGATAGATCTCATCTTTGAAGTTCCAAATTGATAATTCATCTATCTTTGGGGTCCTGAATTGATAACCTATATTGTTTTAGTCCTATTTCAGAAACTTTCCCATCTTTTTTTATTCTCTGATTTTAGTACTAGTTTTTCATCATATTCAAATTCGACTTTTGCGCTTGAATAGAACTTTAGTTTAGTCTAAAACTCTAAACATACAAGTTTTATTCTCCCTCTCATCATACTTTGCCATTTGCGGTCTACAAAGTTTGACTAATGATAAAATAAAGTTAAGTACTGCTTGAAAATATTTTAGTTAGTATGGGTATTTAAGATTTACAAATATAGCACGAAAGTCAAATTCAATTATTGAATATGATAAAAAGTTGAAACAAAACACTGAGAACAAAAAACAATTGCATTGTCCACGCGAATGGTAAACCGGCAAATGTTAATGGAACGGAGAAAGTAAATATTACAATGTTACACCAATTTAAATATCATTAAACGGAAGTTATCTGTATAGTACCTGCACATATTTATTTATAATTCATGCCTCATCCATGAGTGATGATGACAGTGGCTACTGGACGGCGTTTTTTCCCAAACTGCTCAGAAGTTTTGGATAGGTTTCTGGAAGATGACGTTCTTGATTCATTGATGCTAGAAAGCGGCACGCCCGAAGAACAGAGCTTCAAGAAGATCCGATACATTGAGCTCAAGGAAGAAGTGAAGAAGGCCTTTGTCAAAGACAAAGCTCATTGGTCCGCCTTCTCATCACCACCTTCTGCTGCTCCTTTAACTCAAGTCAAGTGTAGCGCAACTCCAAGAGTCAGGAAAAGAATCAAAAGATAGGTCAGGTTTGGTGTGCAACTCTTATTTTGTAAATACACAACGAAACTTGTGTACATATAATACAAATTTACCCACATTATCATCATGAAAAGTTAGAATTGTACACTTGTAAGTATACATATTTTAAGGCTTGGGATTTCCTTCTGATCTTCATAGGACCTATATGTCAAGATCTTGTACTTACCTTTGTTATTTCATATGTAGCCCATGGAGTACGAACTCTTCAACCATATTTTATGTGTAAGCTTATTTGATTGAAGGCCACTAACTTTCTGAAGGCTATAGAACAGTAATCCAATTAAACAGTTCTTTCTCATTTTATTCTTGACCTGAACTTCTCCTAGGTATGAGGTGTCCTTTGGTATGCGGGTGTTTACTAAATTGTTAAAAATGATCTTGAAAATTACACTTCTCATTTCTCTTACTATGAGAGCTAAGTGCATATACTTTGTATAATAATACAAGTATGGCTAGCATACTGGGCTAGGAAATACGGTGCGCATGGCCCATGCCCCATGCCAACTTACATAAATGGATTATAGTGACCAGTGGTATTACATGTCTAATAATAATGGTTACTATTAATATTAATCACATATCTCAATATTAATGGTTACAAATATTCAACTTGCTCCGAATAAATTGAAAACAATCGGTATCAAGTGCTTTTGTAAATGCATTAGTCACCTGATTAGTTGTGAAGATGGATAGTGGTTGAATCTCGTTAGTAGCTACTCTTTCTCGTTCTAAATAATACTACTTCCGTCCCACAACATTGAGACAAAAGGGGGTGATATGATTCTTAAGAAAAGTGAATTTATGTGGTTTATATTGAATTGATAAAGTAAGAATAAAGTACAAATAATTTAGAGCCACACAAAATTTACCAAATTTGGTATGTGACAATCTTAGTGGGATTTCTCGAAAAGAAAAAATGGGACAATCTTAATGAGATGGAGAAAGTAATCTGTTTTGACATGTATTGTGCATTCATAAAAAACTGGGTTAGTGACAATATGTTGAGCCGCTTGCTTATCGGAATATAGGGGTGTGGGATTCATTTGCGGAGTCACAAGGTCTTGAAGAAGCCATTAGATCCATAAAATTTAACTAACGGTGATGGTCGTGACATGCATGGTATTTGGCTTCTGCGGAAGAACGAGAGAACACTAAAGTGTTTCTTTTCGATCTAGATTTAATACAATGGTCATTATGATGTAAAATTGAACATTATTATGATCATGAGAGTTACTATTATTATAATCATTAAAGTATTCGGAATCACATTTTTTGCACAATTTCACTACCTTCATTTTAGTCTTTTACTCGTTAATTCTATCCATTTTGTTTCCTATTATTTTTGCAGGAAAAACATTAGTTATTATTAATGACATCCTATTTAAAACATTCTGTAAACAAAAAGAAATAACATAACAATCAGAAAAAGAAACTACTGCTCTAGCTAGTTAATTTGTGAGCAACAGCCAACAGTTTAGTGTCTCACTTTTCATCGTCGCCATCATTCACTAGCGACTCAAACTTTTTGTTCCCATTCGACCATAAAGATGATAATGGTAAAGATGATGAAGTGATGGATATGAAATATGGTGAAGAAGATATATGAGGTAAGGTGGATGGAAGTGGAAGATGATGAAGATGGAGACATGACGATTATGGATGTGAATGTGATGAAAATGGAAAAAAGAAGAGAATGATTTTGACAGGTTTTTTCACCGTTGACCGTGTTAACCCGTGACCCGGTCCTTCAGCTGGGTCGCTTCCCAGACCGGGTTAACCCGTGGCCCCGTCCATCTAGCTGTGTCTATTGGCCCTCACAAGTTCATTTTGTATACACCTAATATTATTGAATGCATTAAGCAAACATATTCACCACTAGAGTACTTGTGTACTCCAGATCATATTCAATACGCCATTCTCAACCACATAAAAAACTAGACTCTATTTCGACTCGTGTCTATTGGCCCTCACACGTTCATTTTAGTTTGCTTCTCCAAACAGAAAAACAAGTACTGAAGGAGCATGATTTCATATCATAAGACATGTTTATATTATTTGTGAAAGATGACGAATGGAATCTACAAGAAAATGAAATAGGAACTGACCCTACAAAAATGTATTTTTTGGGTATAATTGAGATAAGTAAAATATGAAGGTTGTCAAGAAAAAGGCGGGAATTAAATTGAAAAAATGGTCCAAATATTACTCCTAGACTTTTAATGGACAAAAGTGTGACTAATTTTTGATAAGACAAAAAAGTGATTAAAATTTTGAAAGGCCGAGCACTTTCGCAGCTCCTTCCCACATACGTTCGTCTTTCATTCTCTGCTCCGGATATTTTCATCTTCTCTCTACAGACAGAGCTTCAAGCCCATGACAATACAGAGCCGCCGACACCGTGAGGGAGAGCCATCGACGCCGCTGCACTTCTTCTCGCCGTAGTTGTGTGCGTTGTCCGACTTCATCGCCGACGTCGACGCCGACGTCGACGCCGCCTCTGCACCTTCCCTTTCTGTCGCTGACACTCTACTTCTTCTCTCTTCTTCTGATAGATCTCGAATGGAAGGACTATCTGAAATGCGACAAGAAAGCGGCCAGATCTGGGGGATGGCGGCGGGTAGGGTTCAATGGCGGGTGTTGGGGGCTTGGGGCTGGGCTGTCAAAGATGGGACTGGGAGGGCTGGATTGGGGATGGTTAGGGTGGTCGGAGTGGGTGTGTGGCTGCGATTGGGTGGCTGGAGGGGGCGGAGTTGATCGGCGACGGAGTGAGATATGTTTGGGTGGCAGTGACGACGTGGCTCACTGGGGCTGGGAGGTGACTGGGAGTCAAGTCAGGACGTGCGGTGGTCGGTGGAGGGGTATGGCGGTGGTGTTGGTCACTGAGTGGTGGCAGTGGGATGGTGGGGGTGATTGGTGGTGAAGAGACCTCGCTGCGGAGGAGCCACTGTGGCCGGCAATGGTGGCCGGCGGCTGGAGTTTGTGAGACGGCGGTATGAATAACTGTGGCAATCATTGACGGGAGCGGGGGGCGACAGTCACTGACGGGAGCGGGGGGCGGCAGTCACTGGCCAGGGATGGCGACGACGATCACTGATTAGGGCGGCAGCGGCGGACAATGATCGGGGCAGCGGCAACGGAAGTCACTGAATGGGGCAGCACGGCGGCAGTCACTGTACGAGTGGTCACTATTTGGTGGTCTGGTTCCCGTCACTAAAATTGCAAGTCATTCTGATGAAAAATACATTAGTCACCGCATATTAGTCATATTTTTGGAATTTTTTAAATGTGATCACTTTTTTGTCTTTCAGCTTTTATTTTTTTGTCTTTCAGCTTTTATTTAGTAATATTCCTAAAATAAGGCCAATTAAATTCTTATTGCAACCAAATATCCAACACGTACTTTCTTTCAATTAAGAGTCCGTTTGGTAAAATTGGTTGAATTGGTGACTTTGAATTAATGAAATTTTGGCCGAAATGACTAAATAGGATGAATAATGGAAAAATTATATTTAAAGTATATTTTGTTAATTAAATTAAGAAAAAATTACATGTGAATAGCTATATTGTAAAAACCGGACCGGGAAGCGACCGAGCCGAAGGACTGGGCCACGGGTCAACCCGGTCAACGACGGAAAAACCGGTCAACTTTTTATATAATTTTACAATAATAAACATATATTAATATCTATAAAAAATAAAAAATAAATTATTTTTCAGTCTAATGAGATAATTATGATAACACTCGGTAAGAAATATTGTTATATACGAAGTTCGGATGGTAGTACAAAATTGAGGAACATCCATAACCCATATAGGAAAGAACATGTATATTGACTATTGAGGAACATCCACTACCCGCACGAGTAGCTCAGTTGATCAAGTGGTGGGAAAATTGGACCAAGTGACCAAGGTTCGAAGCCCGCAACAGCCATGTGGATGTTACAGAACCTGAAATAAGGCTGGACCTCTGGTGCGCACGTGTATAAGGCCTACCGCCGCTTTGCTGACTGAGTCACCATGATTAACCTCCCCACCATCCTGTCGGGTCGGGGTGGGGGCTGGTGGGAGATTCCACCTTTTTGGACCAATTGGACCAAGCAAGGAACATCCACTAACCAACGTACGGAATATAATTTTGTTTAGGATAGAAGTATAGAACTATAAAAAACACTTCGTAGTAATAGAAAAGGTATTAAGGTTGTGTTTGTGTTTGCTTATGCTTCTTATAAACGGTTTATTTAACAGATTTTTGAAAATGTGGTTGATAGTAAAAGTAGATAGTGTTTGTAAATAGAAGTGATTTTGATCAAACATAAAACTTGAAGTGTTTGATAGGGGCGGGCAAGAATCCCGGTCCTGTTGTCCCATTCCGGTATATCCCGAAATCGTACCGGTGTTATCCCGTTCCGTTTGGGTCTCATTGATTTTGTCTCGCACCGGTCCCGTACCGGTTTAAAACGGGACGAGACCGGGACATTGGAAGGTTATCCCGAACCGTCCCGTTGTCCCGTTTGTAATAACTATATAGATTTTGTTGCATGTGACTAGTTTGTAATGTCAACTCAAAAAATAAATGATAACATGTTTTTAGTTTTTCAAGCCCAATTTTTAAATTAAAAATAATACCTAACATAAATATTTACTAACATAGGTTTTTACCTAACTTTATATATCTACATATTAGTATCTCACAACTAGAACACATGATTTTGAATAAACTAATTCATTTTTGCTTTGTTTTAAATTTAAATTTCAAATTTTGCTAAACCTAACTAAAATCTAATACGTAGTAGCTTTTAGCTTGTGATGAACATCAATTAACTTTTAAAATGTTAATATTTTGGTGCATGATATTTTAGAAATGCTAATATATATTAGTTACAAGTGATTATTTTTTGTTAGTTTGGGACGTCCCGAACCATACCGAACTGTTCTGAATCATCCCGGTCCCGATTTAAATGGGACAAGACTAGGACAAAGGTTTGTCACGTACCGTCCCATCCCATTATTATTAATTGGGACGGGATCGGGATAACCCTAATCCTGAACCGTCCCGACCCATGCCCACCCCTAGTGTTTGATAAAAAAATGTTTTTTGATGTAATGCTTTATTAATGTACCAAAATATCCTTGTATAAATTAAATGAAAAAATCAAGATCAGCATAAAAGAGAATGTTTATGGCGGGCAAGTAGTCAACCAACCCCTACACCCTATTTTTTCTCTGCCGTACATTTGCTACGGTATATGTATGAGAAATGGTGCTCAATAGAAGTTTAAGTTTTCGTATGTAATTAAATA